CCAAGCTCAATTGAGATACATCCTGTGTAGGTACGCTACGTTTTTGTCTTCAGTGCGGTACGAGAAAAATATCAGATTGAGAGGTTCTTACGCGAAGGAATAAATCATATGAGTATATTTCTCCCAGCTTACATCTGAAGTATCAAACGAAGGCGTGGAGTCCTGGTGCCAGCCAGCGTACCAAGCAGCGGCGATTAAATTGTTGGTTCTGCGGGCGACTTGGACGTCTCGAGGTTGATGGTGATGATGGTCATAATGGTCATGTTCATGATGGTCATGGTGGTCATGCGACGCTTTGACGAGCGAAGTAAACGTAGAGAGATAGAAAATGAAAGAGAATGTCGAAGAACGACAAATCATGGTGGTTTAGGAAGAGGACTGAAGACCATATCAATTTCTCGCCTTGGTTTGACGCAGAAGAAGTTACCAAAGTAGACGACGTACAACCGAAAATTGATCGATGCGCTTCTCTGAGTCTCTGCACCGCTTCTGTTTTGAGCTCATATTTGTAATACACGAAGCTTACCGACAACGCTCTCGCTCCCTCGGTGGTAATTCAAGGACTGTAAATTAGACAATTTTAGATACAAAAGAGTGTGAGATACGGCGAATCCATGACCAGTGGTAAACCCGCGAGCTGATAAATTAAAACAATAAAATTTTGAATGATAGACAACCACATCACACCAAGCAGAGTCAAAGCATGATACCCTTTTTTGTGAACGAATCAAGGTGTTCAGTATTCAAGGTCCGAATCGGATAATTCCTCGCGAGCAGTAGCTTCGGTGAGAGTCATTGAGCGATGCTTGACGAGTCGTTGTATCTTTGGGGTACGCGGAAGAAAGGCGTTGAGACATGGCGACTTCTCCAAGTTTTCAATGTCCACTTGGATAATTTCGCTACAGAACATGTCAAGGTCGAGGTCATTTTCATCGTAGCCTGAAGTCAAGGTGAACCTCGAACTTCTAATGAATACAAATTGGGTAGGAAACAACCCACCGAATGGCTGCTCGATCTCCTCCCCAGCTGCAAGGAAACCCAGGTAGATAAAAGCTGCGAGTGCAACGCCCGGTATCGTGTGCCATTTGAACTCCGCTACCAGCTGGAAAGGCAAGAAGAAAAGGTATATCCAGACAGTGCTGAGAGTGATGGTTCGTAAGCAAAGATGCCGAATGGAGTGTTCATGAACACTCACTGTTTGATGTGCACCGAGTAGACGCTGGAGATTGATAATGTTATTTATGAGTCCGTAACAAAAGACTTTCAAAGTATCAAACTCACAAAGGTAAGGGAGTAGTAAGGATCTGTTCAAGACCTGGAGTGGAGAAATGAGCGAATAATCTCAACTGGCTGGGAAACGTCTTACCCGACAAAGTCGCTTCAAGAGAGGCGACGGTACCAATGATAGATCCTAAGCTTGTACCTGTGAAGTGGAGATCAGTATGAAGCGGCCAGAGTCAGAACGTCAAAAGCTGCATACCCGGAACAGTGTTCCTTTCTTCCAGCACACTACACCACTCGCTCATGCACCTCAATATCTCCAGAGGTAAATTCTCACCGCGAGTGGCTGTAGATACTCGATGTTTCTCCTTCCCAATCCTAGGTTGTATAGGACCGCTCCATTTCCTCTGACTCGCATCGTAACCCCAAGGGTTCTTCGTCACAGACTCTGAGGTCGGAAGCTCAGAGTATGAGTTCTTCCTGGAGAAAAGACGCCTAATGCTCGCAAACATTCCTGCAAAAGGGATGAGCTCGGTAGATACATCGTTCATTATATCTTGCTCGGCAGGCTGTTGTGATGGGGCAAGGGCTTGGTGCTGACTTTGGAAGGATGCAGTGGAAGGAACTCGGTGGATAGAGCCGCGCGGAGATTCTGTGATAGGGAAGGTTCCGTAGGTGCTTTCACTACTGTTTTGATGTTCAGTGTGATAGTGAACACGGTGATGTTTTTTCGGGGGTGAAGATTCTCTGCTGATACCTGCAGACGCCGTTTGCGCTTGGGGGAGAGCGGGATTAGATGCAATTCTGTGTGCTCGGGCAGGAGGCGAAAGACTAGAGGCCATCGCAGCCTGCTTCTGTTCTGTAGTATGATCGTGCTAGAGAAACAAGTTAGCAACTAACAGGTACGAAGCCTGCTATACTTACTTCGTGTAAAGGACGAACAAGAGCATAAAGATCCTCATAATATATGCCAACCTCTCCTGAACATATTCGTTGTAATCATTCACCAAGAGCGACAATTGATAAAAATACCTCGCAGATGATGTTTCAAAGCTACGGCAAAACCTAGGATTAGGTCGAGTGCCATTCTTTTCTCAGCCATGACCCTCATGAGTTCCGAACTCGTGCGGTTCATCAGGCCAGTAGAAATTTCTTCCGCAGTTCTTGGAGTCAAACGAGGAGGAACATGATACCAGACCAGACGCCCGAGAGAGCGCGAATGCTGGATAACATCTGACCAGGCAGTTCGTCCCTGCCAATAACGGTCGTATCCTGACATAGCCCTATAGGACAGAACAAAACCAAGAACAACACCTATGCAGAATTTAGAAATAAGACGAAGATAGCAGGACAATCGATAAACGTACCAAGAACGGTCAACATGACGTTTGGGATTGCGAGATGTTTTACGCCTCCCTTTTCCTCCAGAGTAACGATGACTGCAAGCGATCAGCTATAACCTTCCTGTAACCTCAGCATGCCTACCAATAGCGAAGACAGTTTGGAAAATCACAGCGGGCCAAATCTTATATATCTGATATTGAGTCCCAGTTAACATACACTTCAGATGTATATGCGAGGATAATAGGATATTCACCACCGTTCCCCTTCCGAAAGTCCAAGCAAGAAAGCTATGAGCTGGCGCTTGTGTAATCTGAGCGAATGGTATGTCCGGCTTAACAGCAGGAAGTAGGTTTCTAGTAGCGGCAAAAGCCCGTTTGCCTTTTGAATGAATTGAAGACATGATAGTTGAGGAAGAGAAAAGAAAGAAAAATCCAAGCAACTAGATGAAAGGTTTTGAAGGAACGAATCGATGGGTCAGTAAGAATTGGAGGGAAGGAAATCAAAAACGAAGAGTTAGTTGTGCTGGAAAAACGGATATGCTTTTAAATAAAGCAAGACGCTCGAGGTTGTGGTGGCGGCACCTGGAGATTGATCCTTCGAAAGTCATGAAACATATGTAGATGGAAGGTCGGAAGAAGTATTGAGCGATGCCAAATCCTGCAATCTTTTCACTTGGGAAAGATACTCGTTCTTCTTGCAGTTTAGCTATCAGTGGTTGACCTTCCAGTATGAAAGTAGATATCCATACAAAAGTAAAGAAATAGCTCTCATACTTCGCTTTCAGTGTGGGGGAGACAGAAATGGATTCTAAGACGAGATATGGCAGAATTCAATCCAACGGGAAAGATTTTCATATGGCACTACTGATCTGCCAGAAACGGGTTGGATGAGCGCTGATGGTGTCAATGCTTCAGAGATACATATTTAGACTCACTAGACGTCTTATCAGGCTTAAAGTCCCATCAGTGTCTGGACTGAACGTAGATCACTGGTAGACTGGTAGGAAAAAAAAACTCCACTAAACTGGCAGTCTGTCTTGGGCGTCGTTACGCTGCGGATATTCAGAAGTGGTTCTCTATCATCAGACTAGGCAGTGTTGTATAGATATTTCGCATTTCGGTCAGATTGATAACGAAAAGTATATTCTGGAGATTGAATACGCGCGCGCAAAAGTACACGATAAGAAATCTTTTCATGCGTATTGCTCAAGCTGCAAAATTAAAAGCTGTAGCAATTTCTATCGAAGTATGCTGGACCACCGCACCTATGTTCATTGTCCCGAAAGAGTTGACCACTTTTTTTCCAGCATTCGTGGCAGAAGTTACAGTAAGAGTGACTATAACGAAGAATCGTGGGAACGTTTGCGCTCCCGACGAACGAACTTTTTCGCCAGATTGGAGATGGGCACTCCGCGCCTTAGCCTAGAATAGGCACAATAGTCGGTATACAAGTCCGGTCCAAGTACTCTTGACTGACTTTCCTTCATCTTTATTGTTTATTGTCTTTTCAAACCTCTGAGCGAAATTTTCCTTACCCCAGCAGGCTCATCTCATCAGCTCTGATTTATCGCCAGATCTTATACGCCAAAACACAATAAAAAGGCAAGACTTTGCGAAAATCGGGTTGGTTACCGCGTTACTATGTCCAAAACACATTGACCAGTGCAGGGCAAGAACAGAAAGGTTAAATAAACAATTTCAAGTCCGAGGAATCTGTCCCTTTCTATCTTTTGTTGTCTCTCCTTATAAGCTGCTTGCCTCTGGAGGAAGTAGCTCTTCACATTGCAAATTCTGCAAGTTACGAACCCCTGCGACGTCTCTCTCTCTCCTCTGCTTCATCTTTTTCTGAAATGGACTCCTTCGAATACATCTCGCTCTTCAGCTCATCTGAAAGTTCAGAACGTCTGGACTCCTTGAGAGTTGACGTGCAGGTCCAGGCTCAATCTCAATCATGTTCCGCATCAGAGGATGCCCGAAGGACTACTACCTTGCTGCCTGTTGACCAAGAGTCAACATCGAGCGCAACGAATAGTTTCTGCGTAATAGCATGAGCTTCAGTCCAACTAGGACTCGCGGAGATGCAAATAATGGTTTGTGGACTCCAAAAAGTCTCAATTCAAAGATTACGCTAAACAGATGTTGAACAGCATCTTGGCATTGAAGAGAATTTTCTCTTCTCGTTCACAGCCCGTTCGTCGAGCTTCGAATTAATCACGATTTCATCTACGAATCCACGTAACGCCTTCTGGTTCTGGCATGCTGATTCACATTTGTACAAAATATTTCGTATATTCTAGTCTTTCATTAAACTTGTTGCACTTTTTGGACTCAATACATAACAATTCATGCTCTCTAACAAATGATCACACTAGCCTTGAAATTAAATATTGCTTTGAGGTTCCTACAGAATATTAGGTTCTGGGGGCTTTGAGCTAAGCATCAGTGGTCTAACGGTTATGATCCGGTCTTCCCATAACCGGATCCCACTTATTGATGGTATGGCCGGGAAAGGGGTTCGACTCCCCTCTGATGCATTTCTTATTTCATGAAACTATTTTTTAAAAATTTTGTCGAAGAATTGGAATTGCTACGCGACAAGTGTCGAAGCAGTGTATCACCACGTGTTCTCGCTTTCTCGTCAAGCTACCTTCATGTCTAGCGAAGATTACTCCTACGCCGAGCAAGATATTAGTGATCCAACAAACAATGAAGACGGATTGCCCACATATGATGATCTTGCGGCTCAGAACGGACCTAATTCAAGGTCGGTTGATTGACTAGATACTAGGAAATTCATATATCTCAAAATCATTAGATTTGGACGCTGGAGGGGATGGATAGAGAAAAGGTGCCATCTGCACAAAATGAAAGAAACACAGCTTCTCAATCTTCCTTGTTTTGCTGTAGAGCAGCTGAGCGCTATACGGATGTTTCTCCCGACCAACGTTCAAGACGACGTGAACGAGGTTGGGGGAATGATGAAATGGTATGCTACCTTTGGTGTCTCCGTTATTCAACATTAAGTCGCATACAACAACAGTATGGCTTGGAAAGTTCTGCTGAATTCCCGGGTATTCCGACGATTATCAATGAACCATCTACACCTTCACCAATGGCTTTGCACATTCAAACAAACGATCTACGTAACCTTCATATCTCTCAGCCAGCTCAACACACTTTATCACCGCCACTCCCTCCACTTCCTTCTGTGAGCTTAAAGCTTCAGCCCACACATTTGAGAATGCATCAGTTCGGATCGAGATTCCTCCCTCACACGACTTCTCCAATTCGCTGTGTGCTATCCATAATGGAAGGGAAGTTACTGCTGATCGGTCATGACGAAGGTCTTTCGGTGCTTGACATGTATCCGCGCTCTGAATCAGCAGCAGGAATAAGTGTTAAAGGTCCCGAGGAAGCACAGGCCCGCTCGATATGGACTGGCGAAGGGTACGGTCTTTTTAACCATTCTTCTCGCCCTGCCTTTCCTGACTTTCACCAGGGTATTTCAGATGTCTCTTCTGGAAATGGAGAATGATGCCCGCGGAACTGCTCAGGGCGTTGTTCTAGTTCTCGTTGGACCCGAGGTTGATTCCCCGTCGACTTCAAGTAAAGATTCAGAATTTCCTAGGTCTCTTCGAATGTACAACCTAACTAGCTTGATCAGTTTGGCTAAATGGGCGGTAAACCAAAAGGTTAGCAATCGCAGGATGGGCCTTCCATGTTTTCAATGTTTATGCCTCGAATCATACAGGGTGCACGTCCACTAGATATGCGAAGACCATCCAACTGGCACTCTCAACAACAGACACCTCCGAAAAGGCATCGCCCACAGCATAGCATTGCTCGGGGTTTGAAAAATCTCATTGATTCGCCTAATAACCATGGTTCCGAGCATTCCCAGTCTTCATCGTATCAATCGTTGCTTTCACCATCGCCATCGATAGATTCAACATCAAGTAGGAACAGGAGCCGTCCTAGCTCCCCTAGAATGAACTCGTTTGATTCGGCGAGCTGGGATATGATCGATGAATTACCTTTGCGTTGGGCCACAGATTTCGTTCCATTGGCGACGCCAGGTTCTCGTCTCAGTACTTGTTCAGTCTTATCTTATGCCTTGTGGTCTAACGACAACCGACCGAGTGCCCGAGGAGGCCGACTCCTAGCAATTGCAACAAAATCAAATATACTCTTGTACGAAACCCCGAAAGGTGAACGAGCCTTCCATTTTCTAAAAGTGCGTGTCACGTACTTCTCCATTTCTATCCGTCGGGACTTATTCTCTTACAGGAATTCTACACCCCACTAGCTCCTCGCAGCATCACCTTCTTCCAACAAAGTGTCTCTGATATTGCACGCTCATTCTCCGACTCAGGGTACAGGTCCTCGAGTTCTCATAGACGTACGGATAGTTCCATTACTTCCCGAGATACGCATCGTCTTTCGAGTAGTCCTTCCATGCCAATGACTTACGGAACTCAACTGAGTCTGTTCGTGATATTCGACAAGAAATCCGGGTGGATCCGCCTTGCGGATTCGGCCGTTGGCGAAGTGGACTTGCACGATGATAACCAGTCCGGGCTTGCTTCCAGAGAAGCCTCGAGTCCGACTAGCCATCGTAAATCTCACATGATGATGGACATGTCTTCTTTCGGAAAATGGATACCTCCTGCACTATGCGAATTGCCGTTACCTGCTTCCGGAGCATCCCTGCAGACAACGAAGGTCATATTGCTGACGCGGGGTAGAAGAACACATATTTTACCCAGTCCACTTCCCTCTAATTCATCCTTACATATTCCTCTCCGTGTCATAAGCTGGAAGAATAATCCTACCGATATCATCGCTCGGATTTTCGAAGGTTCAGAACCCGATTTGGATGGTTATTCTACCCCAGTCTATCTGCAAATCATCTCCCTGGGAGAACTCGGGGTGGAAGTGCAAGAGATCTCACTGCCTTCTCTTCTCACTAAAGGGAAAAACAGAGCTCGTGCGGACGATAACCTCTATGCAGAACAAGACACAGGTGGAGATGCTGGATTCCTATGCATAGGTGGACATTGGGACCGTCAACATACTTTTGCCAGCAATCTCAACCGCTCCTACTCTACACTGAGTAATAACTCGACCTTCAGCACTGATTCGACGCAACTTGAGTTAGAAAAGGGTCTGTATTGTTGGTGTCGAAAGGGTGTAGAAGACTTTCGAGTCTTCTGGCTTGGAGGATCTTTAACAGCTGACTACGAGGACGAGGAGCAGTGACATGGACACAACTATTTATATCTAACGTGCAGACATTGAATTCGGACTGTTGTACATCTATTCCATCTTTCCTAGCAGCAGTCGAGCAAAATCATTTCTTCTCGAAAATTTCATTGTCTATTAATGTACAATGCGGGTTATAGGAATTTGTGAGCAACGGGATTAGTAGGCAAAACGGCGAGGAGGATAATGTAAAGGAAAACATGCGCGCAAACAAAAAAAAAGCAAAACTATTGTCCATAAAGATTAAAGAACACATTCATTCATACACGATACCAACAATGCATAAAGGAGGACTATCCAAACGAGAGTAAGTGCACTAGTGCGAAATCGGGTTAACAGAATATTGGAGAAAGTTGGTCAAGTCCCGCCTACGCCACATCTTTGGCGAAGGAAACAGAATTGGGTGTCGGTGTCGCAGGCGTTGACCCGGAACCACTGGCGACTTGAAGGGGTCTAGCAGGGGACGTTTGTTGTTTCCGGATAACAACGAACGATTTCCCTGGTGTTGGTGAAGATGGAGGTTCTAGCGATGAAACGGCGTTCTCAGCAGCAGCTGGAGCTGCATATCCTTCTGTACTATGGGCACGGCTCCTGCGGAGGTGATACCATTTCTTCTTTGAACGTCCATAGGAACTATCATCATCACTTTCGACAGTAGCGCTTCTTCTCCGATAAGCAGTAGGAGGAGCTGTAGGTGTTCCACCTGATTCGAACCGGTTGGATCGCGAAGGTGGGCGAGAGGTTCCAACACTATTGGAAGCCGAAGAACCAGCGGGTCTATGTATGGGTGGTGCAGAGTCCACATTTTCGATGATAGCCGTCTGAGATTTCGTTCGGACATGGTATGGCGGCAGTGCACCGGGAGGTAACCCAGTCGATTCTTCGTATACTTGTCTTTGACCGAGAGCGAGATTTGAAGAAACTGAAGGTGGAGGAGATTCGTCCAGTCTAGGTCTGGATAGACTGAGTTCTCCTACACTCCCGGTCGATGGTTGATTAGCAGCAATCCGGTGCCCGATGGATGGGAAGGTATGTGTGGACCCCGTTGCTTGTCCTTGTGAGATTGCATACGGTGAATCAATATGTGCTCTTCCTCCGCCCACGCGAGAGAAACCAGAACTCTTAGCAGCAGCCGGTGGGACAGCACTTGTCGAGGGCGGATCACCAACAGGAATGTAGCCTGCCGAACGGTTCTGGAAAGGCTGCCATGCACCCATGATGTAGCCCGTTTCGTCGTCGCTCTCTTCTCTATATGGTCTCAATGCATGTTCTGGTTTCAAAACGGAGGGTGGAGGCCCACTCGAGTGAATTGAACCTTTCCCAGTACCAAGTGCGAGGGTGGGTGGGAAGGAAAGATCAGATTGAGGTGAACGGAGACCAGACTCGGCTTGAGTATAACCTGTTCTGTCGGAAGACTTTCCGCCGCGTTTATTTTGATTTGAGCTTTTACGAGGACCTCCGCAACAACCAAGTAGACCGCAGGCACCGAAAAGGCCACTATCGACGACATGTCTGGAACGATCAAACGATACTCCACCGACGATACGAACGATAGCTTCGATGACTTTGATGACAAGCATGAGTGCGAGAGATGCATAGATCAAGGCAAGAATGATCAATATACCATACGCTACCCAAGCATCTGGGCCTACTCCGACTGAAATCTGTGAATGCATAAGTTAATATTTTACTTCAAGAGGAGAATAACAACGTTACCGCAGGGGCTAAGATCACCAATAACACCGCGATCACGATCCTTGCTACGCAGAACAAGAAACTGATCAAGCCCATACTCGCACCAGTGCCCCAAGGTAACCATATACTGGTCACGAGCGCATTAAGAACCTCCACCACCAAAATCACAATCGCTTGTGCCGTTCCGCTTTTCTGACCGGCTCCAATAGTGACACCGATCGCAATGTCAGTTGCGAAGAGTAATGAAGCGAACATTTGCGATCCATGGCGATAGTGGTTGTACAGTGGACCCAAAGATAGCAAGGTTCGGGTTTCTTCGTATAGTTTGTTCGTCGACGTAAGCCGCACGCGAAGTACAAGTATAGCAGGAATCAAGCATGATATGAGGGCGAACGAAAGTCCAGCCAGGACTCTGGAGCTCAAAGAAACGATGGAAGATGGCTGGGTCATTTGATAGACCGAAAAGATGGTGACAGGGAGATGAAAGAGCACGAGTACTCGGACGAGGTTGCCATGTAGTACGCTGCCATGGAAAGAGCTCCAGGCTGTATTGGAAGTACGTGCACGCCACCACCTG